TTTGATGAATATTAACAAATGCCTGCACCTGGGTAACCCAAAACCTTTAGCCAGCTATAGACTATTCCAAAAGTTCTTTCATGGCCCTGCCCAGCAATACCTGCCCCACTCTCCTTCAGGTGCCCCCAAGGTTAATCCCCAATGGAAAAGTGGATTAATTAAAATATGGATTAATGCTGTTATAGTGGGAATGGGTTCATTATCCCAAAAGTGGTTTTGTTACAAAAGCAAGTTTGGCCCACTCTAGCACGCTCTTGCTGTTTCTCTTTGTCTTTCCTCTTTCCTCCGTGGGCACCCTTGTCCTTTCAGCTTCTGCAATCGGGTGATGCAGCGTGCTTGTCAGCTCCAGGCCTCTTGACATGAACTTTCCAACTGGCAGCATTGTAGAAATAAGTCTCGGTTCTCTACAAATTACCCGATCTTGCTCTGGTATAGCAGTACTATGGATATAACAACAGGTAACGACGGTTTTTCTCATTGTTTTTTTTTTCCCTACCTTAGATTGGATTTACTTGTCTTAGAACACCATCTAAATAGTTCATACAGGATGAACCTTTTAGTGTAAGACGTCTTTCATTCAACATTTCGGGGATTTATCCATGTTATTACAAACCAGTAGTTTGTTCCTTTTTTTTCTGCTGAGTAGCGTTCTATCATATAAACATTAAACATCAAAAAACACTATAGTTTACTTATACATTTTTAGGTTCCTAGAAATTTGGGTTGTGGCCAGTTTTGTAGCATTATGAACAAGTATTTTATTACTCTCTGTGAACATACGTTTTCCTACTGAGAACAATTTGATTTAAACAATGGTGCTCTAACAGTTGTCCATTGGTAAGAAAATTCTAGGAGAAAGTTAAATGCATTTTAACATCCTGTTTATCAGGGAACTTTCCAAACATATAAACAGAGAATTCCATGTTCCCATCACCAACTTCAGGAGGTAGCCATTTCACTTTAAATGCCCTTGACCTTTTTTGTTTGCTCTTTGTTCTTCTTAGCCTATAGTATTTTGAGGCAGATCTCAGATGTCACGTCATTCCCCTTGTAAATGTTTCTACTCATCTTTAACTGATGAGGACTTTTTTTTTTTTTTTCAGTGCTGGGCTTTGAACTCAGGGCCCAAAGCTTGCTAGGCGGGTACTCTTGAGCCACACTCCCAGTCCTTTTTTGCTTTAGTTATTTTTTTAGATAGGGTCTTGAGTTTTTGCCCAGGGCTGACCTCAGACTGTGATCTTCTTACCTATGGCCTCCTACATGTCTGGGACCATAGACATGCAGCAACCATGCTTAGCTTGTTTGTTGAAATGAGGTCTTGCTAACTTTTTGTCTGGGCTGCCCTTAAACTACGATCATCCTGATCTCTGTCTGCCTCACAAGTAGCTGGGATTACAGATTTGAACCATCTGCCCAGCCGTTTTTTTTTTGTTTGTTTTTTTTGTTTTTTTTTTGAGACAGGATCTTACTGTGTAGCCGCTGGCCTGAAACTCAAGATCCTCCTGCCTCAGCTTCCTGACTACTAAGATTATAGGTGTGTGTGCCACCATACGTGGTGAAGAAAAACTTTTCTTTTGAATAATTGCCATTGCCGTTGTTAAATGTTAAGGAGTTAATGGTGATTCTTATAGTACTATGGAATGACTGTCCTGTGTCAGATTTTTTTCCTATATCAATGTTGGTTTTTACAGTTTGTTAGAATCAGCATCCAAACCTAGTTCATCTTTATATTAGATCATCATTCCTCTTGCATTTTTTTTTAAAACTAGCATGCTGGGAAGTCTATGAGGGGAAAACAGACCAGGTTATTCAGGGGCAGTGATGGTGGTTAGGACCCAGGATGGCTGTAGTCAGGCCAAACTGAGTCCCTACAGGGCCTGTGAAATCAGCCCAATTCCTTTATAAAATTTTTATCAGTCTTTCTAATGGCTGAAGTATCCATTGATGGTAATAGGCTAAACTTATTTCTCTAAGTGTTAGAAAAGCGTGTATCAGATCCTTTGATTCCTTCTGCATTCATTAGCGGGCATTCTGTAAAGAATTTTCCATTGTCAGTGTCTTAGTTATCTTGAAGTAGCATTTTTATGTGAAGGGGAAGGAACTGCTTAGCTCTTTTTCTATATTTGTCAGAATAATGATTTGGTACTCCAGCCATCTCCAAATTTTCCTCTGCATATTACTAGGAACTTGTAAGTGTCACTATCCATGCTATCATTTTTCTGTTTATTTTTGTGTGTTGCTGAGGATCAAACCCAGAGCCTTGCATGCACACGGCACGTGCTTTACCACTGAGCCACCTGCCCAGCCCCCACTGCAGGCATTTTTCTTTTTCAGTTGATCTCTTAGATCAGTGTCTGTCTGTCTCTCAGTCTCCTCAAATTTTTCCCTCTGAGGCCAATGGGAGCCTCTGCAAGTTAGCTCCTGTGTCTTGGCATCCAGCTGCCAATCCGGTCCCATGGATTCTACCTCCTGCCCTCTGTCCACCTTGCTGTCATTACCATGGTCCATGCCTCTGCCTCCTCCTTTGTCTTTTCAGAAAAGGGTCAGAATGTCAAACATTTGAAGACTCTTGTTGGATCCCATCTTTCTTTAAGTTGTTCTCCATGTTCTTGACATCAAGACCAGGCCCTTGAACCTGAACCTGAGCTCATTCCCTCCAGCCCTTGCCTGCCCCCTCTGTCTCTCCAGCTGCTGTGTTTCATCTACAATCCATTCTTGTGGCTCCTTCCCTGCAGTCCTGCCCTGCCTCTGCCAGTCCCCTTACATACAGTTTTCTCTGGCAGTGGCCCTTCCTGCTGCACTGACTCTTTTGTCCTAGGACTTGACTTAAGCCAGAACTTCTCAGCCCTGGCTGCATGTTGTATCATCAGGGAAGCTTTAAGAAATACCAGTGACTGGGCACCTCCCACCTTCTCTGAAAACTTGAGTTTTGGGGGGCAAAGCCTGACTGCTGTTTTTCAAAACTCGTGTGGCCAAGGTTGAGAACCACAGTTGGGGTGTTCTTCCTCTGGGCAGCTAGTCCTCACCCCCCATTCCTGGATCCCAGGCCACTGGTTTCTGCTGCAGCATTCTGCTTTAACCAGACCTTACCAAAAACTCTTGGGTGTCTTCCATGCTAGACAGAAGTAGCATGAGGGCTGTGGCCACATCTGTGTTTACACGGCACATGGTAAGTGCTTGATAATTTTTGTTAGCAGATGGTAGGGATATGTTCCGGCTGGATTTGTGGTCATTTGAAGGGAGAGATGGTGGCTCACTTTTTATGTGACAAAGGCCAGATTCCATTGTCTGCCACCTTCACTTCTCACCCATTCATCTCCTGCTCCTCTGAGCTCCCTCCCCTAGAGAGGAGGACTTCAAACTGCCCTTGCCTTCCCCAGATCTCCCTGAGGTTACTTTTTTTCCCTGTCTTCCTGACCAAAGAATGTCACCAACCTTTGAACTTGAAGAACTTGCGGGGAGCCCTTATTTGAGACTTAATCAGACACATATTGGGAAAATGTTTTGAAATCATCTATTGGACACCTTGCACAGGGAATAAATTTTATTATTTTGTGAGTTTCTCTAGAAGACTCTTGCCTTTGAATGGAAATTAAAAATTACTAAAATAGTGATATTAAGTTGACATTCACATTTTAAAAAACAATTCTTAAATTATTTATTAGCTTAGCCAGGCATGGTAGTGCATACCTATAACCCCAGCCCTCGAGAGGAAGAGGCAGGAGAATCTCAAGTTCTAGGTCAACCTGAGCTACTGAGTTAAAGAGTGAGACCTTATCCAAAAAAAAAAAAAAAAAAAAAAACCACACACACATTTATTACCTTGTTTTGGGTTAGCTTTACTGGGGCATAGTACATATGCAGGGAAGCCCTCTTACCTCTATGCATTCTGCTCTGAATTGTTTGACTCCCCAGCTGGATTTCAGGCCATGTGTGATCCAGAACTCATGCCCTCATAATGACTTCCATATATGGCTTCATGGAAGCTACCACGAACTGTGCTGTGACTAGAGATAGTATTGTGACCTTTGAAAGCCTAAAGGTGCACAAGAAGTCTTACCAGTCCTGGAGGACACTAGTCAGGTGGTTTGTAACCCAGATTCTCTAGGCCCCTATTGTCTGTTACTGCCTTTTTCCATCCACCAGGGTGCAGTGTTCCATTCTGCCCAGCAGTCAGCCTTGAGGTCTTCCCTTTCACCTCCTGGCATTTTAACTCAAGGGACCCCAAAATGATGTTTCTTGACATTTTGACCTCTGGAAATTCACCTTACATTCCAACTCAGTGGAGATAGACACACCTATGTTACTCTACATGAATATGTATAATAAAAGTTGCATAAAATAATACTTTGCTACTTGCAATATGCTCTGTTCTCTTTTCATTTTAAAAAGGTACTGATCACTATCTAAGATCAGTTCATTGCCACAAATTGGATTGCACCCTACAATTTGAAATGTTGCCTTAAAGTCCCTTTAGTGTGGTGGTTACCAGAATATCCAGGATTGGATGGTTATGGCAGGATGAAAGGGTAGAGAGGAAACTTCTTCAGTCACTCTGGGACTCAGAGCAGCAGCTAGGATGGGACCTCAGAGATTTGAACTTTTACTCCATTGCTTTTTTGTCCTGTATTTCACACCTAGAATTTTCTTACTGGGTCCTGCTGATTGCGGTGACATGGTCACCACAAGTGCTTAGCAGTGTAGTTTGTCCCAAGCCCATGGACAGCACAATGTAATATGATCTCCACCTTGATTTTCCTATTAGTGTTGGCCTCTGGTTGCTGAGGCCTGTGGACTCCAGTACACGGATCCTCCCTGGTGACTGTTACCTGAGTGCAAACATAGGAGTCCTGGCTTAGCACTGGTTCATGGGATAGCCCAAAACCAAGCATTGCACATTGTGCAAGTTTGATAGGCAGGGGGTCGCCTGCCACATCATAGCATCTGGTCTGAAATGAAGGAGGCAGAAGTTCTCACATGTCCCCTTCCTTGCTCTGCAGAATGCCTCCCGGAGGTTTGAGCTCGACTACAGCCAGGACCGCTTCCTCAAGGATGGCCGGCCATTTCGCTACATCTCAGGAAGCATCCACTACTTCCGGGTGCCCCGCTTCTACTGGGTGGACCGGCTGCTGAAGATGAAGATGGCTGGGTTGAATGCCATCCAGACGTAAGTAGGAGGGCACTTGGCTCTCATCTGGGCCTGCACACTCACATCTGGAAGAGAGGATAACTTCATTTCTCAGGGTAGCTCTTTCATTGCTCAGAAATGGGAAATAGTCCTGTGTAGCTTTCTGAGATGTGCTTGTCATGAATGTGGCTGGCCCATCTTCAGATAATTAACCACTTCTGAGCTTGAACTTTATTGCAAGACATCATGAAACAATCAGCTTAAAAAGGCAAAGGTGGGGCTAGGCATAGTAGCACATAGCTGTAATCCCAGCTAGGCAAGAGGTGGAGATAGGAAGATCATGGTCCTTTTGTTGGCTGGGCAAACGCATGAGACCCTATCTGAAAAACAAACAAAAAGCAAAAGGAAGGGCTGGGGCCATGGCTCAAGTGGTGGAGACCCTGAGTTCAACTTCTCATTACCACTGTTTAAAAAAAAAAAAAAAAAAAGAGGCACAGGGCGCTTTGCTGAATGATTCCATTTCTCTGTGATGGGCATTCCCTCCGCATTTATTGCTGGTGAAACTGAAATTTGCCCAAGGTCACGTCTTTGGCCAGAGGTCTAGCTAGGATGTGAACTTAGGGGAATTTGTGGGCAGCTGTAGCTTCTCTTGGCTTTGAGGGAGTAAACCTGTGCTTAGGCAGGTTCCTGGAGCTCAGTTTGCCTTCCTGGTTCTCTGGGGTAGTTGTATAAGCCCAGGCCATACACTCACCCCAACAGTCATCTCCCCATCTCTTCTCTGCTACTGTTGCAAGGTGACTAACTAGAAAGAAAGTTGGTGTGGCTGACCAATCTGGTTTTTGCAGAGCTGATGTGGATTGCTGATAACTTTTCAAAGATAAAGGATAAGAAAATCTTTACATAGTTTAGCAGATAGTTTGGGGGAGTCCCTGCATTATTCTGGTTCTAAGATTATTGGCAGAGCAAACCCAAGATCGCCCTTTAGTGGCTTCCACACTGAGTTCCAGAAGACCACCGCTATCTGTTCCAGGGAACCTTAAATCACAGGACTATAGAAAAAGGACACAAGCCAGGGGTCTCATATTTAAATTTATATTCCATGCTCTGAGGAGCTGGGGAGCTGGAGGGAATGTCGGTTATTTACCTCCTGCCATGCTATTTCTGACAATATCTTTTGTCCAGATCTGTTGGTTGTGGGCTTCTCTCCTTTTTTGTTTTGAAACAGGCTCTTGCCATGTAACTCAGCCTGGCCTTGAACTTTCAGTCCTCCTGCCTCTGCTCTCCCTTCTGAGTGCTGAGATTCTAGGCATGCCCTACCATACTAAGCTTATTCCTACTTTTGTTAAAGTTGTAGGGTGTTTTTTTTTTTTTTTTTTGCAGTACTAGGGCTTGAACTCAGGGCCTAAACCTTGAGCCACTCCACTAGCCCTTTTTTGTGAATGGTTTTTTCCAGACAGGCTCTTGAGAACTACGTGCCTGGGCTGGCTTCGAACTGCAATCCTCCTGATCTCTGCCTCCTGAGTAGCTAGGATTACAGGCATGAACCACTGGCACCCAGCTAATGTTTATTTTTAAAAAATAAGTATACCGCCTACTGATTTAGCAAGATGTTTTTATTTTTTTTCAAGGCTTCACACAGATATATAAAATTTTTCTATCATAGGAATTAGTGTTCATGTAATTCTGTTTTTTTGGTTTTTGTTTTCTTTTTTAAGTTTACATTGTGTTGAAAGATTTGTTTTCTTTCTGTCACACAGTTTCTGTAAAGACTACGCTCGTCGGGGCCGGGAGAATGGTTCAGTGGTAAACCATGTGCCTAGCAGGCTCAAGGCCTGAGTTCGAGCCCCAGCTCTGCAAACAAAAAAACAAAAATGATTTAATTCGTGGCCAAGGGAATGAGCCAGATGGTAAAGAGGAATCAAAGGAGAATTTGAGAGCTGGTGGAGTGGCTCAAGTACTAGAGCTCCTACCTAGCAAGTGTGAGGCCCTGAGCTCAAACCCCCAAAATAAAAATTTTTTAAAAAAAGGAGAATTTGAAGAAGAGAGGTCTATAGTCAGCCATGGAAGCCGTGCCGAAATAAGTTTGTCTTGAGAGGTGAAACTGGTTACTACCATAAAAGGCGATGCAACCCTTGGAGTCCTCTTCCCTAGCTGATAATAACTATTTGTATCCCTATGAGGCAAAACCAACTAAAATTAAAGTGTAACTGTAGTCTTTCTCCTAATCAATAATCAATAGTTAAACAAAATACACCCAGAGAAGGAAAGAAGCCTTGGGACGTCCCATTGGACAATCTCCAGCTCTACAGGGGGGGAAATATAGTGGGCCTTTCACCTTATTTCACCTTATTTCCAAATTCAGGGTAATTCTCAAGACCCTTTCCATTCTCTCCACCTTTTTGTCCACGTGTTAGCAGTAGTCCTAAGAGGCCCTTTCTCCCTCGCCTCTGCCGACTGTCTCGTGTATCTTTCTTGGCAGGTATGTGGCCTGGAACTTTCATGAGCCCCAGCCAGGACACTACGAGTTTTCTGGAGATCATGATGTGGAATATTTTATCCAGTTGGCTCACAACCTGGGATTGCTGGTCATCCTGAGGCCTGGGCCCTACATCTGTGCTGAGTGGGACATGGTAAGTATGGCAAGATGGGCCTCTTCCTGCCTGGAAGGTGTGAGTAGGATTGAACTGGTAAGCAGGGGTCTGGGCTAAGTGAATTTGAATAAGACTGTAAGACCAGGGCTGATGGAGTGGTAGAGTTCCTGCATGGCAAGTACAGGACCCTGAGTTCAAACCTTAGTACCACAAAAAAAAAAAAAAAAGACTGTGAGTCCAGATAACATGGAGCATGTGACTACACAACCCTACATCGCCTTAGCAAGGTGCCCCAGGTAGAGTAGCAGGTCAGGGTCAGAGCATGGATTCTCCTCTTGGGGGCCGTTTACATAACTCGGTTTCCTCGTCTGTCAAAAGCAGTGGATGGTGTCTGCTCTGCCTTCCTCACTGGGGAGCTGTGAAAAGAAGTGGAACCATCTGTATAAAAGGGTCCTGATTCTCAAAACACTGGATCAATACTGATCTTGATTTTACTATGTTCTAATTTCTCCAGAATTTACAAATGTAAAAGCCCAGCTGAAACAGCCCTTCTTCCTGAAGCTTTTGACTTTCCTTCTTTTCCATCACCACTAATGAAATGGACATTATAGTTACAATGGCTCCCTCCTCCTTTTTTCTGTCATAGGGAGGATTACCTGCTTGGCTATTAGAGAAAAAATCTATTGTTCTCCGTTCTTCTGACCCAGGTAAGTTGGAGATATCCTGAGAACTTATGAAAGATTAGACAATTTATATCAAAAGAGCTGGGTATTTTGAAGGCTGGGCTGCTTCTGCAGAAATACTTCTGAAAGTTTGGTAGAAGTCAGAGTGTGAGTTACCATTCTCTGCACCACACCAGACATTGAACATGGAGGAGGAGATAGGCTTCCTTGGCTTCCTTGCACTACGTGGCCAGATCTTGCTGATATCTGGTAACTCTCTGAATTGGCATTGAGCCCTGTTTGTGGTTGACCAACCGACTTCAGTGCTTGCTTTCTCTTCCTACATACTTAGTATATTACACAGCCAAGGAGAGCAGCTGTCTATCAAAATGACACATGTAGTTTCTGGGATGGTGACATTGGGTTTCTTAGTAGCTGCAATGTCTTCTTTGTCTACTTTTACAGTGACTTATCTTTTTTAACCATGAGAGATTACTTTAGCTCTAAGCCCTATCAGAAGATCTCACCTATCTTCTGAAGATTCCAGTTTCTCTTAGGGATGGTGGAGGTAGAGGAGATAGTGTTGATGATGGAGACTGTTGTAATGGCAGCTAGCATTCAGTTAGTGTGCAAAAAGCTAGTACATTACTCTGTATGTATTTCCTCTTACAACGTCACCCTTTTGTTCTGCCTCCTTAGTGTGTTATTAGCGTTCTCAAATGCACTATCTCATTCATCCTCATGATAACTTTATGAAGCATGTACTTGAATTATTCCCTTTTGACAGTGTAAACAGGCAATTTATTAGAACTTAGTTCTAGAAGAAGAGTCCTACTATGACTGAGAGGGAGATACGGCATTCAGTTTCTTCTCATTATTTAGCAACCAGTGCCTGGGTGCCTCCTGTGTGTCTGGCTTTGTGTCCTATGGCAAAGACAGATACCAGGCAATACTGGACCTTGTCCACTGAGGAGCTCGGCTAAGGAGACTAGTATTGTGGAGGACATTTATCAGACTTTTCTTGTGGGTGGCTGCCCATTTTAGCATGTAGTTGTTGAGTTCAGTATATTCTGATCCGTGCTGCTGCCCAGGTGTGATAGACTGTACTGTGTACTAAAGATATGTGATGGTGTAGCACCTGTCTTATTTTCCAGATTACCTTGGAGCTGTGGATAAGTGGTTGGGAGTCCTTCTGCCTAAGATGAAACCTCTTCTCTATCAGAATGGAGGGCCAATTATAACAGTGCAGGTACCTGTGGGGTGGCATGGTGGGTGGTGGGGGAGGTTTCCAGCCATTTTCATTATATAGATGGTTGCAGTGTTGCAAATAAGAGCCGCCCCACTGTTACTTTAAGAGGTAACGCTTTTACTTAAATTGTATTTTGTGAAGATATTACCTCCTTTTTGTTGTTGTCATTTAAGAGAATGGGTCTGCTATGTTTCCTAGATTGGCCCTGAACTTCTGGGCTTGAGCCGTCCTTCTGCCTCAGTCTCCCAAGGAGCTGGGGCTATGGGAGTGTACTGTCACACCTGGTTCTCACATTACTGCTTTTAAAATGCCTACTCTGGATGCCCTACAAGTGCTATTCAGCTCTTCTACCCCAGCCCCCTCTTGTTCACTGGTTCTGGAATTTGAATCAGGGCTTCACACTTGCTAGGCAGGTGCTCTGCCACTTGAGCCACTCCACCAGCCTTTTTTTTTTTTGTGATGGGTTTTTTTCAAGATAAGGTCTCTCGATCTATTTGTCCAGGGCTGGCTTCGAACCATGATCCTCCTGATCTCTGCCTCCTGAGTAGCTAGGATTACAGGTGTAAGCCATCTGCACTGGCAAACCATACCTTTTGAAATGAAGAAATTCAAAAAGGTTAAGTGACTTGGCCAAGGCCACCAAGCTGGCAGGTGGCAGATCAGGATTGCATGCTGTTTGTGTGGATCCTGTAGTCTGTCTTTCTCTCATACCAACCTTCCTCTGGCTATAGGAACTGAAACGCTTTGGGGTCTGCATGGCCTCTGAAGTCAGTTATTCCTAGAATAGAAAGAGCAGTAGAGAATTGGAAACATTTTGTTTTCTTGCTTCCTGTCCCCACTCTCTTATGTGTTCTTGGCTCTGCCAAGGCTGATGTGTTGTGGGGTACATATTTTCCATGTGAAAAATCAGGACACTTGACCTGCAACAGTTTTTGGTGTTTGTCAAATTACTTAGGTAAAACATAAAGGCATGTTCATTGGATTTCTACCAAGGATGAAAAGGCACGTGAAACTGGCTGTTTCCTGGAGCATCAAGGGAATGCAGTGTGGCACTCCTTAAGGGAGTGTGGGCCAGACTGCCTTCTGACAAACAGTGCTCTGGACAGTTTGTAGGCACTGCAGGGAAGGAATGTGGCCACTCCTCTGCCCCTCAGGTATAGGTGGAAGAGGCAGTGAGAATTAAGTGGATCAGGTGTCCTTTGTGAGACTGCAGGGTGGAAGGAGACGTCCTCTTGACGGGACAGGTGGCTGCTTACAGAGAAATGTCCCCCGAGTTCCTGGTTGCCCTTATCTTTTACTCATCTGGCATCTGTCCTGGTTCTGCCGAGAGGCCTCATCTTCCTGTGTGAAGATGGTAAGTCTGAAACTTGGGCACGTCTTGCTCTGCACAGGTGGGTCTTCTTCCTTGTCTCTGACTCAGGTGAAAACCCACTTTTTGGCTGCCTTCCTTTTCAGTCCCTGATTCTCCTTGAGTCACTTTCAATTTCTGCACCTTTTGGTTAGGCAAATGCCACAAAAAAATGTCATTAGGTATTAACTGTGCAGAGGAGAGCAAAGTTGACTGACTTGGTGACCTCAGAAGACTAACTTAGCCATGGATCCTTCTAGGTGAGTCTGTCCTCCCTCTCTTCCTCATACTCTTCTCTTACATTCCCACCTGCTTGAATGATATACTTGAAATACATAGGAAAGCAAAAAAATATCTAACTGTCACTCAAACCTCAGGAGCCAGAAGAAAAGCTCTTTATATTGTAGGAGTTTCCTTTATTGTTTTTCTTTTCTTTTTTTCCTGGTTTTTTTTTGTTTGTTTGTTTTTGGAAGTTTAGCAAGACTTATTTTTAGCAAAACAGTATAAAGTAGGGAGAAATAGGAAAGGCAAGGAAAGCCATGTTCTGCTTCACATGCAGGAGATGGGAGTGAAGAAGACACCTTTTTTTTTTTTTTTTTTTTTTTTTGTGGCACTAGGGTTTGAGTCCAGGGCCTCACATTTTACAGAATAAGTTCGTACTGTGTGACCAATTTCCTGCGTGGCTTTTCCACTTCATTCTTATATCAAAGGCATTTTTTCATATAAATAGGAGTTCTTTGTGCATCACCTTTCATGATTGTCTTCTGAGGTGTGTTCACATCTGTGCTCCCTGTCAGGAAGCTGTGCTAGTGGGCTGACCTGGTTCTGTGGGACTTTCGGAACCTTTGGTTAGTGCCTCCCTATGGGAGTTTTTCTTGTTTCACTGCTGAAGGGTTCTCCAGTTCTATCACGAGTCTCCTGAGCTCTCCACACACAGGCCTGGCAGCCATTTGGTCCACATGCATGTACATATCACACACCCACCAAGTGGTTCTGGAATTGGATAGAGGCAGGCTGGTCGGATAAGAAAGACATGGAGAATTGGGAGCCAGTGTTGCTGCGTGTCAAGCTTTCTGTGAAAGCTGGTTCCTCTGTCTTAATCCAGGTCAAGAGATAGAAATAGATGGCGTCATAAACTGGAGTTCATGAAGTTGATGCTTCCTTCCTCTGCACACTCAGGGAGTTTGAGGAGGCCCCAGAGGGACAATGTGTCTATCTCCAAAACCAAGTCAGTAACAGAAGGCTCACACCCCTACCCAAAGACAAGCAGGGATTTCAACCCTGCTGGTTTCCAGATGCAGGAAGCCAGGCTTGCACCAGCTATGCAAATGTTTCTCTTCTGGAAGGATTAGCCAAGCCACTGTGACCTGTGATGTTTACGCATGTGGGTGTTTATCTTTTGTACTTAAAATACGTAAAGCCGAAAACACCCATGGACAACATTCAAGGTGAAAAGAATTAGGATTTCACCACAGCTTTACTTCATGCAATTAATGAGGCATTCATCGTGCAGTCATAGGTCTGTTTCTACCTGTTGTTTCAGAAGATCAGTGACATTAGAAGTCTCCGTGAGTAAGGAGCTTACCAGATGAGACAGCCCTCTAGGACAAGGACCCATGGGCCAACACTGGCTGCTGCTTGCTTAATAAATAAAGGAGTACTGGGATGTGACCACACCACTATTTATGTACTGCCTACTGTTTATGTACTGCCTACGGCTGCTTTTGAACTACTGCAGCAGAGTTCAGTAGCTGAGACAGGGACCTAGATAATAAATAATCTAAATTATTTATTTTCTGGCTCTTTATTGAAAAAGTGTGCTTACCTCTGCCCTAGAAAAATCGGTGTTCCTCTGATTCTCACTGTGATGTTTTCTGCGGCTCTTGCAAACTGTTTTCTGTTTGTGTGTCTTCCCTCCCAACCCCCCCACTCCCTCCCACCCCACAGGCCTCTGTTTTCCTCTAATTGGCAGAAGTGTGGAACTTGAGTATGGTTTTCCCTGCTAGCTTTTTGAGGGCTTAGTAGATGCCAGGTACTGTACAAAAGTGTGTTCATGCATCGGCTTGCTTCATCCTCATAACAACCCAATGAGGTAGGTACTGTTAGTCTCATAGAGATAAGAAAACCTCGTGCATGTGGAGTCCCAGGGATAGGAAATGGCAGGGCTCAGATTTGCACCTGAACAGTAGGGATCTCTGATGCCTGAGACTGATCCTAGCTGATTTGAAAATGAACTTCCCCATTCCTCCTTTCCCTCTTTCTCTCCTTCTTCTCTCTCTCCCTCCCTCCCTCTCTCTCCCTCTCTCTCTCTCTCTCTCTCCCTCTCTCTGTCTCTCTCTCTCTCTCCTTCCCTCCCTACCCAAATTATGAGTATGTATTTATTACAAGCCTCTTTATTTTTAATTCTATAATACAGTGATTACAATGGCTAAGTAGGGTGGGAATAAACGAAGGCTGGTTGAGGTGTGGGGCCTGCAGAAAAGAGCACAGGTACACAGGCCACCTAGTTGCTAGAGCAGATCTTTAAATTTAGCTCTGAGCTGCTTGGAGCCAAATGATAAATGGAGACACAGTCATTTGAGTAGCTCTTATTAACAGGGGAAGTGGAGGATGAGGGAAAAGAGAGAACCAAAATTTGCAAAGATTTTCTTGGCACTGAGTTCAGTTATTGCAAAAGGAACTTCCATGATACTGACAAGAGTATCGGGGAGGGCTCTTGCGTGGGTCAAGTGGTGGAGTCCCTGCCTAGCAAGTGCGAGTCACCCAAGGGAAGTTTTATACTCTACCCCTTTCAGAAGGCTTCATGGCCATGGAAGGCCTCGGCACCTGGCAGGCTTGCTGAAGTATTGTTGCTTCTTGAACCACAATGTGAAAGTACTGCAGAGGGATCCTTTCTGAAAAAGTGACTATTCATGAAACAATGCAGAAAGCAGCACTATGTGTATAAGGGTGGTGGCTGCATTAGCTTTCTGTTGCTATGATAAAATACCTGAGAAAATCAACTTATAAGAAGGAAAGGTTGTACTTTGGCTCATAGTTTCAGTCCCTGGTCTCTTGACCCCATTGCTTGGACCCATGGCAGCACTGCACATCATGGCAGTGACACGTGGTGGAGGAGGCCTGTTCACCTGCTGGAAGCTGGGACGCAAAGAGAAAGAAAGCAACCAAGGGTTCCAGTATCTCCTTAAAGGACATGTGCCCAGTGACCTGACTTCCTTTTGCACCTGATAATTCTTGGTCATGGTATTGTTCTGTGCCCCATAGGGGAGTTAACCACATCCCGGCCCTGGCCACTGTGTGCCATCAGCACTACCCCTTCCCGCCTGAGGTGACAGCCCAAAATGTTTCCAGGTTTTGCCAAATGTCCCCCTGGGAGAAGGGCAAAGCAGTGCCTGGTTTAGAACCCTGATTTTATTAAGCATAAACCAAGAGCTGGTAATGGCATAACCAGGGAACACCTGGCTGTTTGACAGTGGGTGAGCAGGTAAATCATGATGCGTCTGGATCTGGCATTAGTTCTTCTTACGCCTTGAATGTTTTTACATAATACGGTAAAGTAAGGAGAAGAAAGGCGTGTTCCAGCTGCTCAAATAATATCCGAGCTTTGAGGAAGGTAGATATTGTACACTGTGTGTGTGCGAATCAGGAAGGCTTGCACTAAAATGCTTATAGAGGTTCTCTGTGGGCAATGGAATTAGGACTTTTCCCTTTTCTTTTCCTTTTCCCCCACTTTTTAATATCTCTACTGTGGGAAAGTATTATCTATGTACTGTTCAATGTATCTGTTATTGGAAAGAATACATTTCTACAATCCAAAAACCAATTTGGTGTTTAGGTTTTTCTTGTCTTTAGGCAATGGGGGAGGGTTAGTAGAAGGAAAGCTTCTATGCTGAATTGCTTTTGGAACAAGGAGTTTGGATGTCTCAGCAAAGATGATGCTGGCATTAGTGAGGACTTGTCTAGTATTTTTCCCAAAGACTTGCTTTAGAATAGCTACATTGGGATCTGCTTAGGTCCCCCTCCTCTTTTTCAATTTGCAGGTTGAAAATGAATATGGCTCCTACTTTACCTGTGATTATGACTACTTGCGTTTCCTGGAAAAGCGTTTCCGCTACCATCTGGGTAATGACGTGCTTCTGTTCACCACTGATGGAGCGCATGAGAAATACCTGAAGTGTGGGACCCTACAGGGTCTCTATGCCACAGTGGACTTTGGAGCAGGTTAGTATTTGTAGTAAGTAGAAAATGCAGGTTACGATTAGCTTTTTTATTCACTCAATCACTGTGGGCAGTGGTCCTTGTTTTTAAGTGGCATTAGTAGATTCAATAATGGTTCTCAAATTTTCCTTTATCAAGTATGTTATTCGGCTTTATGTTACTGTAACAAAATATCTGAGATAATCAACTTAAAGAGAAGAAAAGCTTATTCTGGCTCACAGTTCTAGAGGTTTCAGTCCATGACCAGTTCACCCTATTGCTTTTTGAGGCAGCATGTCATGGCAGGAACACACGGTGAAAGACGCCCATTCGCCTCATGGCCTTAGACTCTAAGGAGAGAGAGCCAGAGACAGCACCTCCAGTAAACTAAAACCTCCTACAAGGCCCCACTTCTTAAAGGTTCCACCACCCACTACAAGTGCCATGCAGGGAACCAAGGATTTGCTGCATGGGCTTTTGGAGGACATTTAAGATTTAGACTACAGCATCACGTAATAGGTAAAGTAGAGTAATTGCACCTTCAGTTGTTGACGTTATCTTATTTAAACCTCCAGAAGGAGCTTTGAGTTTGGCTTCATTTTCAGCACCCGTAGAGCCAGCCTGGACCCTGGATTACGTGTTCTCAGGGGCTAGGTTGCCCAGCCAGGATGAGGAAGGGGGCGGGCACAGTTCCACTGGAAAGAAGCTGTATCCTGAGGAAGTCTCCACTCAGTCTCTGGCAGGCTTCCTTGCTCTCCCCTGCCCTCCCCTGCATTCTCCTGCCCCCTCCTTCCTTCCCCTGCACTCCCCTGCCCTACTTTGCCCTCTCCTGCTCTCCTCTGCCCTGCCCAGCCCTCCCCTGTCATCCCCTACCCTCTCCTGCCCTCCTCTGCCCTCTTCTGCCCTCCCTTGCCATCTCTTGCACTCCCCTATCTTCCTCCTACCCTCCTTGGCCCTCCTCAACCCTTCTCTGGCATCCCCTGGTCTCCCCAGACCTCCTCTGCCCTCTTCTGCCCTCCCCTGACATTTCCTGCTCTCCACTGCTCTCCCTAGCCCTCCTCTGAAGTCCCCTCCTCTCCTCTGTCCTCTCTTGCCCACCCTTACCATCCTCTGGCCTCCTCTGCACTCTCCTGCCCTCCCTTCTCTCCCCTGCTCTCCTTGACCTCAATCTTGGTAGGAGTCTCAGGTCTATATTGTGGCCTTAGTGAACTTTGAAGTCATCCACTAGCTGGTATCCTAGGCCTATGAGCCAACAGCACAGGAAACTTACCTGACACTTCTGTGATCTTTCTGCATAACTCAGCTCTATGAATTCTGAGGGCTGGAGGGAGTTGCAGATGCTACAAAATCTGTCTGACCAGACTTGGGAGTGTGGTGCAAGCTATGAACTTCAGCAAACGAACCTTCTGAATGGGTGGGCAGTGGGGCTTGGACCTGCTGACTATAAATAGTGCTAAGGGAGCCTTCATTTAGGTTGAGAGCAGTTTTCATGAAGGATGTGACACCTAAATGCAATGGATAATCCAGAATAGAATCCTAAGGGCTGGTGTAGTGTCTCAAGTGGTAGAGCACCTGCCTACCTGCCTAGCAAGTGTAGGCCCTAAGTTCAAACTCCAGTACTTCCAAAAATAAAAAATAAAAAAAACTGGATAGGATCCTAGACCAGGCTTCATTTACTTATTTATTTTGCCGTGATGGCATTATTGAGACAATTATAATCTTCAAAGTTTTAGATTATAATATCCATGTGATTTTTCCGATGGTATTGTGCTTTTTAGTTTTTGGCAGTATTTTAGTTTGAATCAAGGCTTCCCACTTGTTAGGCAGGCACTCTATTGCTTGAGCCATGTCCCCAGCCGTTTTTTTGTTTTTAGTTTATTTTTCAGATGGGATCTCACTAAGTTTCCCCAGGCTGGCCTCCAACCTCAATCCTCCTGTCTCTGCCCTCTGAGGGATTATAGGAATGTACCACCGTACTTGGTTCTGTATTGTGCTTTTTAAAGAATTTCTTTGTCCTTAAGCAATAGACATTTTAGGGCAAAGAACCATCATGGCTGCAACTTGTTCTTACATGGCTCAGAAAAAAAGTAGGTATACTTTTATACAGAACGAGGAACTGATTGAGTAAATGTGGTAAAATGCCAAAATTTAGGGGTCTTAATGAAGGGAATGTGAGAGTTCTTTGTAGTATTCTTATAGTTTCCTATAAGGTTGAAATTATTTCAAGATAAATTAAGTTAGCAAGAGCTGGGAATATAGCTCAGTAGCAGAGTACTTGCCTAGTACACACAAGACCCTGAATTCCAAAGCCACATATACACACACACACACACACACACACACACACACACACAATCCAGCTCTGCAAATGTCATAAAAACTGCTGTTCCCCTACTTGAAGGAAGCCACCTGGAGCATGTCCAGAGCTTGCCCTCTCTCAAGAGTGACCCACAGAAGACTGAGGTGTCAGAATTAGACCGAAGTTGAATTTTTAATGATGTTCTTCCACGTTACCCAAAAAGAAATGAAAAGAACCAACCTTACATGATTTGGATGTTTCTAGAAATGTCCATTGCTCAGAATTGTTGAGCTAGCTTGTGCACAAGGTGCTGCAGAGGAAGTGGCCTGCTGATTTCCTCCTGCTTTGGCATGCCTCCCCTCCCAAAGATGAAAAAGTGCAGTATTTTTCTGTTGGGAGGAATAAGTTGAAGATGATTATGAATTTGGTGTGAACATGGTCTGAAAGTAAGGTGGCAGTATGACTTTCCTGATGGGGATGAGAAAGAAAGTGCTGTGACACCAGTGTGCCTGGGGCAGGCAGGTGCTCTGGCCTGCTTCACTCTATGGGAAACAAATCCTGCCTGGTAAGCAGTCAGATCTTGGAAGGAGGCTCAGGAATACCATGTTTTAAGTCATCTAATGCTTAGTAGTAAGAAACACAGCCATGGAGTAAGTGCAGTCCTGCTCCTTCTTGATCAGCACAGCTGTCCTGAAAGCTGGTTTTGTAGAGAGCTGCCTTGCCAAAGGCTGACCTGACAGCACAGGGTTATTGGAGGTCCCACTGGCCTCACTTCTACCCTGGATACCAGCTGTGAGAGGTGGGTCATGAAATGTGGCGTGGGATGTTCCCACTGTGGTTGGCACGGACACTGTTCATGTCTACTCTTTCACTGGTACAAGGCAGCCTGTTACCTCTCTGTGGAGACATTCTTTTTCTTTTTGGAGGAGGTAGGAATGCAGAAGACAGATGAGACAACACACAGGCATCCTAATGGAATATTTCCAAAAGAAAAATTGAGAGCAGGAGTTTGGAATGGCTGATGATGTACAAATGGGAATTCAGAGTGTGCTCCATTATTAAGGATAAACACAGTAGAACACTCTCATTCCCTTGGTTTGTTCATTATAACTGGCAAATACTTGTATTAATATTTGTGGAGACTGCATGGAAATGTCTTCAAGGCAGGCCCATTCTGTAGGAGCATCTGGGTCAACTTGCTGCTCCCAGGGAGGAGATAAGCGCACAGTTGTGTGCCAAACCCTGGGGAAGCACAGCTGAAGAAGGCAAGCCTGAGAAGCGAACCCCAAAGCACGCAGGTGGGAGAGACCATGTGGACCCATTCAGGGAGGAAGCAATGTTCTGTGGTCCCCACATATTCCTCAAATGGATGGTCTGGGTGCTGTCTAAAGCCAACTTAGAGGTGTTCCAGGCCCATGGTGGGGTGGGGAAGAGCAAGGGGCTGTTAAAATACCTTAGACTGGGTAATTTATATACAACAGAAATTTATTGCTCACAGTTCTGGATGCTGGAAAGTCCCAGATCAAGGTAATTCTCTTACCAGATTCAGTGTATGGTGGGGACTTCAAAAGTGTCACTTTCTTGCTGTGTTCTTACTTAGCAGAAGGGGGTGGGAGCTCCCTTGAGCCTCTTTTATTGGGGCACTAAATCCCATTCATGAGGGAGGAGCCCTCATGATTGAGTCACTTTCCAAAGGCCCACCTCTTAACACTGTCATATTAGGGGTTAGATTCTAAATTATGGATTTTGGGTGAACCAACATTCAAACCATAGCAGGGTGTCAGGCTCAAGTCCCATGGGGGCTTTCGATATATTGCTTCTTGCCATTCCCATAACTCACCTTTCTTCTTATAATTTTCAGGCCAGAACATCACAGATGCTTTCCTAATCCAGAGGCATTTTGAACCCAAAGGACCCTTGGTAAGAATTGGGGGTGAGGGGTGAGACTGTTGGCTTGTACCGACTGCATTGACGCTGTTGGGGGAGGAGGGAGAATGAGCGTCCGTGGTTTTTCTGGCTTTGGGATCAGTGGCCAATGAGATTGTGGGGACATAGCCCTCCTGGACTCATGGGTGGCACCAGAAACAGTGTTTTGATTTGAAACTGAAGCCCTGCACTTGGAGTGGAACAGACACAGTCTAACCAGCATGGCCAGGCTGCTCCCATCAGTGTCCACTTTCCATGGGGCTCAGAGAACGTATGTCACTTTTGCCCCAACTCTATAGCCCAGGAAGGGGGTTAAGCTGTGTGTTTCTCCCCTTTCAAGTGTTTATGAATCACCTGGGGATCTGTTTAAAATCCAGTCTGTTGGGTCTGGATGGAGCCTGAGTGGCTGCATTTCCAACAAGCAACCAGGTGGTACTGAGGATGCAGTTTGACAGCCATGGTGTGGTGTGGTTGCTGCCCCGCTGTAGAGGAAGGAGATGGCGGCAGGGTCCAGGTGGGTGCAGATGGCCCATCAGCCCCTCACTCTGTCTTCTCTTCCCTTTGTCAGCAGTGCTCACTGTTGTTCACCCAGCACCTGTGAGCAAGCCTTGTTTACCAAACATCCTTTTTTGCATCCGAGCTCTGCTTAGTGAGCTGTGCAGACTGCGTTTGCAGACTGGGTGGAGCTAGTTCCCGGAACCTGACACGTCCAGGTTTCTCTTTTCTTCTCTAGAACAACAGATGTTAAACTGCTCTTAACCATTCCAGTAGGCAAAATGGTTCTATATACTTGGACAACTCTACTTCGTTATCAGTCCGCCTGAGACCTCAAAGTCTGTATTCACACACAGGGTAAATGGTGTGAAAAGGGATTATTTTATAAAACATTTTTCCCAGTTTTTTGCCCAGCTAAACTTTTCTGCTGGGGACCTCAGAAACAAGTAATAAATCTAATGTAGGTACAACTTTTTAGGAATAAGCCTGTTTATGTTCAGTACAGATGCTATTTTTTTCTTCAAATACTTTTGATCTGCAGAAGATTGAATCTGTGGATGCAAAATCCCTGGATGCAGAGGGATGTGTTTGTATTGTGTAAGATGAACGCTCATGTTGGGTTGGCACCCTAGGACTAAGTGTAGGCAGTGCTATTATGAGTCTTCACTGGTCCCTGAGCTCTGGGTTAGGCAGTACATGTCAACCCCACTTTCCATCTGTCCCTTGGCGGAGCAGAAGGACGGCATTACAGTGACGCCTCAGCATTCGAAGATCACGAGTCTGTTGTAAGCTCCATGTCCCTTTCTAGATCAATTCTGAATTTTATACTGGCTGGTTAGACCACTGGGGCCAACCTCATAACACAGTCAAGACCGAAGAAGTGGCTTCGTCTCTCTATGATATACTTGCCCGTGGGGCAAGTGTGAACTTGTAAGTATTCACTTGGGGGAGGGTTCCCCAATGACTGCTGGCTCACAGTGAAGTACTGTGTGTTTTCTTATTTCCTTGTAGGTACATGTTTATAGGTGGGACCAATTTTGCCTATTGGAATGGTAAGAGAAATTTAACACTGTTTGTAGACGCCTATGCCATGTTTCTGGTACTTGATTTGGGAAAGTATACCTACAGACAATTTTTATTTTCTAATTTTGTTCTCTCCTAAATTTTTTAATATATAAGCATTACCTATATAATCATGTTACTTTAAAAAATTTTAAAGGACATATCTTGAGCATTTAAAAACCTTACTGTTTTAAACAAGCCTACTGTAGCATATCAGTTCATATATTCTGTTGTGGTCTTTCCTTTTTAATGCTTTGTTTTGTTGAGATATAATTCATGTACCATAAAATAAACAATTTAAAATAAGTAGTTAGTATATGCTCAAAGTTGTACAGCCATTACACTCTTTTTCCAGAACATTTTCATTACCCCAAAAGAAACTGCCTACACATCAGCAGTCATTCCCCTCTTCTCCCCCAACCAGCCTCTGGAAATCACAGAGCCACTCCTGTCCCTGTGCATCTGCCTATTCTACACATTCCATTTAAATGGAACCATACAATATATGGGCTTTGACCTTATTTCTTTCATGTAGCCTAACATTTTTAAGGCTCATCCATGTTGTGCCCCGTATTGGTATTTCATTTTTTTTATTATTGAATAGTGCTGCATTATGTGATCACAAAATTTGTTTATCCATTCATTGATTGATGAACATTTAGTTTACTTTGGGGAATAGAATTGCTGAATTATGTGTTAACTCTTATTAAACATAAGGGTTTAGTTTGAAGAAATGTTACTTTGTTCTCCAAAGTGGCAGCACCATTTTCTTTTTCTTTCTTTCTTTTTTAATGGTACTGGAGGTTTGAACTCAGGGCTTTGTGCATGCTAGGTGTGGTACTACTTTAGCCATGCCTCCTGCCCTTTTTGCTTTGCTTATTTTTGTCATAAAGTCTTGCTGTTTGCTGGCCTAGACCATGACCCTCCTATTTCTGCTTCCCACTCCATCTCAGCCAATGGTTGTGCATGTGCCACCATCTAGCTTTTTTCCATTGAGATGGGGGGTCTCACAAACTTTTTGCCTGGATTGGCCTGGAACCACAATCCTCTTGGTCTCAGCCTCTCACATAGCTTGGGATGACAGGCAGTGTGCTCAGCCATTGGTTGAGTGGGGGGGGAGTCTTGCCAACTTTTTGCCTGGGCTGGCTTCAAACCATAATCCTCCTGATCGTTACCTCCCAAGTAGCTAGGATTACAGGCGTGAGCCACTAGCAGCCAGCTCAAAGTGTTATGGTATGTTACATACATACCCATATTTGGGGTGGGGTAGAGAGAATTATGACAAATTTCTCTGCATTGTTGTTAATTTTGCAAAGACAAATTATGCTATATTGTATAAAAGCTTCTTTCCCCACCTCTCTCTACATCTGCATTTTTCTTTGAATCACTGAGAATGGTAGACTGTTGCATTTTGGAGGCTCAGTTTGGGTGTAAATCTCTCAGGATCTAAAATTGGATACTATCATCAACTTTAAAAAAAATGCAGTTTTGCTTTTGAGCCTCTGTTTTATAGAGTGAAATGGGCTAGGAGGAAACATGACTTATAAGTATTATCAATTTTATAACTATTATTAGAGTTAAGATCAAGATATAAAACTCATGTAGTATGCTGAGGTCAGTCATTGATAGTTTAGCTCCTCTATGTGTGTGTGTTTTCTATTTGGACACAGTTAAGATTGGTAACACCTTTTTCATTCAGTAGAGATGGAACTTGGTTGAAGAATAAAGACTGGTAGTTTTTGCAATCTTAATAATTCACATTATAATTTTTAAAATCTTACTGTTCTTAGTGCTGGTGGTTCACACCTATAATCCTAGCTACATGGGTGACTGAGATCAGGAGGATGATGGTTTGAGGCCAGCCCCGGCAAATAGTTCTCAAGACCCTATCTCTAAAATAATCAGAGCAAAATGGAGTGGAGGCATGGCTCAAGCAGTAAGCACTTGCTTTGCAAGTATAAGGCCCTAAGTTCAAACTGGAGACTCCAATCCCACCAGAAAAAAAGTCACCACTTAGGAAGCAAAAGCTGTCCTCAGCCTATCTAGTGTCCCTGCCTCTGCTGTGAATCAATCAACAGAAGCCCCCTTTCCATTTCTCTTTTCTGTACAGTTATCATATGAGACTCATCTAGGCTGGAATTGTTGACACCATTTTCCAGGTCAGAGTAACATGCTCCACGTGTTGCCAGCTCAGCTGGCAAAGGACAGAGCCTGGGTTTAAACTCAGGGCTCAGTGAGCCAGTCTCTGCCCATTGAATAACCATGTGTTGCTCCTGAGCTAGCTCCCAAACCAACCCCACTGTGTTCTTCAGGCCCCTCTAAAGCTGCCCTCCAGCCCAGTCTCTTTGGGAAGCTGAGGCAGGGCCAGTCTGTTCTGCTTGTGCAGTGGGCATTCCCGTGCCCTGTGCCTGTGTGTGTCCATAGCTGTGTGACAGCTGCCTATGGGACCCAGGCTGTCCTCCACTTCTGACAGTGTGAAGAGTTGAGGAGTTCTAAGTCTTGCCCTTTCTCTTGCCTTTCTTCCTCATACCCTCTCCCACAGCCTTAAGCTTGCACTGCCTCTCTGGGAGGCTGCCTTGGGTGGGTCCAAAGACATCCACAGGAAGATGGCACTGGTAGAACTAGAACAAAGGCTTGATCCCCACTGGTCTACTGCCCAGCCTGGGTTCCCTCAGCCTGTTGAGTTTGTATGTGGAAGCTATACCATTCCTCCTCAACGTGACACCATTTACTGAGCATCCTCTGTGTGCCTGGCCCTGGCTGGTACAGAGAGGCTGTCTGTAGTTGAGTGCAGAGCAGGACCCAAATGAGAAGCCCAGGCCACATTAGGTAGAAGAGGAACCACAAAGAAGGTAAGCTCCTTGAACAAGGATGTGGTTTTATTTTCCTCTGTGGCTCACAGGAAGAGATGCGTTTTGACCTGTGCTTCCCCCAAGGCAGGCAGACCTGTTGGCTATGAGCTGTCTCTGACTAATAAGAAATGGGGAAAGTCATGTGCCTAGATCAGTTTGATTGTTTGAGTGGTCCAGGTCTCTCCAAATGGAGATTCAGACTCCAAAATGACCAGGAAAGGTATTCCTTAGATGTGCTCTCAGGAGCAGCACCTGTAAGAGACTGTGGGAGGCAGGATGGGGCCAAGAAGTCAGGCTGTGACATAATTTTATGAGTGAAATCAACCCATCCTACAGGGAACTCTGGAACCAGGATGGCCCTTTGAAGCAAGAAGAGATGGTTTTTATGTTCCTGTAGTGGCCAGCTGTTGGGTGTATGATCTCTCTGGGGGATTGTAACATTGGGTAAGACAGAGGCCAGCACCCAGAGAGGGTCATATATGAGTGGTATCAGGATCCAGTACCTGGGCAGCCAGAGTAATGACTTGGTGCCTTTGTCCTGAAGGGGGAAGCAAAAGGTATACAACAGCCCCTCCTTAGACACAAAGTCCTATGTGCCTGCTGTCATCTCCCATGTTGTATTGTCTGGTAAGCCCTCAGTTTTCTGCTGATCCTCAACCCAGTCACCCGTGTCTCCACCAGACCTTTTCTCAGCTACCCAATTTGAGGACATGAAAAAGATCAGAGATTGTAGGGTTGATGAAAATGTGGGTCCTCTCACATGCCCCTCCATTACTGGTGTGAGATGTCACCACGTTTTGCAGGGAGGAGCTTCAGATTCCTTGCTTGTCCTGTGGAGGTGACCGCTGTTGGAACTTCTGTAGAGAGCGTGGATAAGGAAAGTGCTGTGTGAACTCTAGGGTACTTGACAAGTGTCACCTTTAGGAACAAACTGTCCCTCTAAATTTACCTCCTGAGGACCACCTCCATGTCTCTTAACAATTGGTTTTCATGTGTCCTATATTTCTCCTTTCCCTAATCTGGGTTCATGGGTCCCAAAGAACTTGTGCCAGAGCCAGGCCTTCTGTAGTAACAAGCAGCACATTTTTGTCTTCTAGGGGCCAACACACCCTATGCAGCACAGCCCACCAGCTACGACTATGATGCCCCATTGAGTGAAGCTGGGGACCTCACTGAGAAATATTTTGCTGTGCGCAAGGTTATCCAGAAGGTGGGTGCTTCATGCTGGTGGTGGCAGGCTTGTCGTGCAGATCCTGTCTTGACACTGTGACTCTATAGATGACTTCTTGCCTGGAGCCTTAACGTTTAAAAGAGTGGATGAAAAGAAGCATCACCTAGGTTTGGGTTTGAGTCTCAGCCCCACCTCACTAGGAATGGACCTGTGAGCAAGTCACTCTACAGATGTATTCATCTGTAAAACTGGGATTACAGCACCATGTGGAAGGATCAAAAAGGACACATGTAGGTCATCCAGGTCCTGACATATGTCCATTCCTATTATTTATACCAAAGGCAGGAAAATGTGTGTCCAATAAATAGCTGAGGTATATAGGGAAAAAAAAGACTGTGGACCCCAGAGTGCAGCGCAGATGTGAGCTGTGCAGTGGTGAGTAATGCTCCACTTTCCTATTTAGGGTAAGTGATTGCTAGTTCCTCTTGGCCTGCTCCGAACTGTTGGTCCTGCCAGCAGTATAACCCAGGTGGGGTTTCCTGTTTCTGTGGTGGGTTAAAAAAAACCACAGTGTTTCTGCTCAGTCACCTGAGTTTTGAAGTTAAAAAACAAAAGTATTCTGCGTATAAATGGTCTGGGTTTTTTAAAGTGTGGTATAATGTCAATTTTAAGTCTGTGTTAAAAATTGTTATGAAGTATTTTAAACATATAGAACAATGTGCTCTAAACTTAACTACACCTAAGTTTTCAAAGGTGTGGTTAAAATTGTTTGCATGTTGTTTTTTATTACGGGTTTAATCTCAGTAGAAGTTGCAATATTGTCTTCCAAGCTTTCTCTGATTCAAAGCTTTCTGTTCCTTCCTTTATGTGAAACTTATCCTTTTAGCCTTTCTTCTTGTCTAATACATACCCAAAGTTATAGATTTGCTTCAAGTAGCACTATCCCATACATTTCTGCAGTATATTTATTATTTTATTATTGTTTTTCTTGGAATCATGCCTTTTTTTTTTGGCGGGACTGGGATTTTAACTCAGGGTTTCACAATTGCAAAGCAGGCACTCTACTGCTTGAGCCACACCTCCAATCTATTTTATTTTAGTTATTTTGGAGATGGGGTCTTGCAAACTTCTTGCCCAGGCTAGTCTCAAACTGAGATCCTCCTGATCTCAGCCTCCCAAGTTGATAGGATTACAGATGTGAGCCACAAGTAGCTGGCTAGAAACGTGCCTGTTTTGATTTCTCTTTGACCCTTAAAATATTCAAAAGTGTTAGAGGGCTTCTTTTGTTTTGTTTGAGACAGGGTTGCCCAGGCTAGTCATAAACTCTTGGATTCAAGTTATCCTCCTGCCTCAGCCTACTGAGTAGCTGGGGCTATAGTTGTGACTACTCCACCGAGCTCAAAATGTGTTTTTGAATAATTAAACAAGCATTTTTCTAGTTTTTTTGATTTCTAAAATATTTGCATCTGGGTAGAGGATGTTCTCAGTATGATTCCAGTCTTTTGAAATTCATTGAGCCTAGTTTTTGAGCCTGCCATGTGCCAGGATCAATAAGCAGTCAGTGTGTACTTGAAAAGTAGGCCTATTTTACAGTTGTTGGGTGTAATGGTCTGTATGCTTGTTTCTTAGAGTAAACTTATTAATAGGTTTATTAACCTTATTAATGTATAAAGATATATCATTATTACAACTTTGGTATGCTGATTAACTTTTTGTTAGATTATTCTATTTATTGAGAGTTGTTAGTTCTTCTATAGATACGTCAGTTTTTGAGACTGTGTTATTTATCAGGCATGCAAACTGAGAATTAAATTCCCCCGTGTTATTATCTAATCCTCTATCTTTAATCAGGCTTTGGCCCTAAAGGATTTTTTGGCTGTTATTAATTAATATAGCCTACTTACATTCTTTGGTTACCTGGCTTATCTTTTCCAGTGCTTTAATTACATTTGTCCCTTCTAAACAATACAGCCGAATTTCTTAAAGTATCGAAGTTGAAAATTTGTGTCTTTTTTGTTTGTCTAAATGTGTCAGTACTGGGGTTTGAACTCAGGGCTTCATGCTCGGTAGGCAGGCACTCTACCACTTGAGCCATACCTCCAGCCCAAAATTTGTGTCTTTTAACAGGTGCCTTTATTCATTCTCATTTATTGCAATTCTTGATACAGATTAACTTCGTACATCTTAATTGGTCATTTCTACTTGTCTGTCTTTTCATGTTTTTCTTCCATTTATTGCTTTCTTTTGGATTGTTTGAGGGTGTTTTCTTATTACCTCCTCTTCTGGTTTGGAAGTTATTCAGTGTATTTTTATTTTCTTAGTGGTTACCCATTGAAGTGTAATATTTACGCCCCCCAAAAAGCACATTTCCTATGTAGGTGGCTCAGTGAATTTATGCAAAGAGAATACAAGGCGTGACCAACGCCAAGAACCCGAGGAGCCTCTCTTGTGCCCCCTTCTCTTGAGCTCATCCTCAGTTCCTACCCACCTACCCAAAAGGTAGCTGCTCTCATCACCTGCAGGGCCAGAAACTAGTTTTGCTCATTTTGGACTTTATCTAAATAGGTTCATACAATCTGCACACTTTTGTGTCCGGCGTTTGAGAAACTTTAACATTTATTTCTAACTTATAATAGCTTAACATTAATTGCTTCATTTCCTCCATGTTACATCTGTCTCTAACTCCCATTGTACTCCTCTTGTGTGCTATTACTGCCCTGTATTTTAGGTCTCTGGCTTTAATTTTCTTGCATGCTCTCTTTAAAAACTAAAATCTAAAAGCCTTTCAGTAATGCCTTTGGATAGTGTTTCACTGCACCCACATAGTTCATTTGTTCACAAATGATTTTAAAAATGCTGTCAAGCACCCTCTTGTGCCAGGTGATTTTAGTAGTCAGTATAAATAGACCTTGATGAGAAGGTGAAGCTTGAGCAAAGACTTCCATAAGGTGGTGCCATGCGGATGTCTAGGCAGGGCCAGGCATTCTAGGCAGAGCTCAGCCAGTGAGAAGGAGGGAGCTCAAACACCATTTTGAAGGACTGGTAAGGAGGCCCCTGTGGCTGGAGCCCAGTAAATGAAGCAGTGGGAAGCCGGAGACAAGGCCAGAGAGGTAAATGGGAACTGATGCCTAGGGCCTTCTAGGTCATTGTAAAGCTTTGGCTTTTACTCTCAATGGAACGGAGATCTGCTGGCATTTCTTTTTATTTTTTTGGTGGTGCTGGGGTTTGAACTCATGGCCTCACACTTGCTAGGCAGGTACTCTACTACTTGAGCCACTCCATCAGCCCTTTTTTATGATGGGTTTTTTTGAGATAGGATCTTAGGAACTATTTGCCTTGACTGGCCTCAAACCACAATCCTCCTGATCTCTGCCTTCTAAGTAGTTAGGATCACAAGTGTGAACCACCAGCACCCAGCCTGGCATTTCTTTTATGGGTTTTAGAAAATTCTTGGCCACTTTCTCATCAAATGTTATGTTGACCCCATTCTCCCACCTTGCCTTTAAGGATAGCAATTCTATGTGTGTTAGACCTTTTTTCTGTGTTTTATATATCTTTTAAGTTCCTTTCCATTTTTTTCTGTCCTTTTTTCCCCTTTGCCTTACTTTAACCTAGATTTTTTTTCTGACCTAACTTCTCATTAACTAATCTTCTCTTTATCTGTGTCTGAGTCTGAGTTAAACCCATACATTGTAAATGTACTTTCAGTTACTGCATTTTTGAGCTCTAAAACTTCCATTAGATTTAAAAAACTATTTCCAGTTCTCTGCTGAAATTCTCCATCTTGTTATGTTAGATATATTTACCACCATTATTTTAAAGGTTTTTTTCAAATTATCCCAACATCAGGCTGTATTGTGGGTCTGTTTCATTGGCTTTTTTCCTCTCAGTGCTGAGCATTGAACCCAGGGCCTCACCCATGCTAGGCAAGCACTGTTCCACTAAGCTACATCCCAGCCTGGCTTTTTTCCTCATGTGCAGTCTTTAATCAGATAGTGTTGTCTTCTTGTGCGTTGGTTTTTCTTTTTCTCATCCAGAAGTCAATAAAACATAAAAGAAAGAGAGGATTTAGGCTCCAGATGTCTTACTTTTCATTCGAGCTGACAGATCACCTTAGTACAACAGAAATTCAGCTTATTTGAACCTGGGCTTCTGTCTTTCTGAGGGCTGGTCCATTTCTGGTTTAACTTCTTAGGGGCTCCAACTGGCAGCCGGAAGTGTTTACTAGGTTCTTCCTCCCTGATGGTCTCTGGAGTCCAATTTTTATCTTCTCAGCCCTATTAAGACTCCCAAAACTTATGTTCAACTTCTTGCCTCTCGTAGGCCATTTGTGGATTGACAAGTACCCTAGTGGAAAACTGATATGAAATATCAAACATCATGCTATTCTTCCATTTATTTGTTTGTTTGTTATTTAATTAGTTAGTTTTGGAGTTGTAACCCCTAAATTGTTTCCTGCATTGATAGCTTTCTGATCCCTCCAAAGCATGTATCTGAAAACATCTTGTCTGATTCCTCTAGATATTTTCCACAGGAAAGTTTGTTCATGAAAAGCTAGTTACAGAGATTTACTGACCCTAAGAAATCCCAAAGTTTCCCCAACATTGTTATTCACAGTTCTAACACCTCCAGACCACCAGGCATTTGTTGTCCAAATAACTTTCCTGAGACTTGAAGATCATTTGCTGAACCATTAGGCAAATATTTATTCAGTGTCAGTCTCTGGAGTTGGATGTTGGAAGGAAGAGATGAGCTGGGCATGGTGGTGTTCACCTGTGACCCCAGCACTCAGAAGGCTGGGCAGGATTGCATGAGCTGATGAGTTCAAGACCACCTTGGGCAACACAGGGAGTCCCTGCCTCAAAAAGAAAAAAAAAAAAAAAAAAAGATACCACGGCCCACACTGGGGGTGCTCAGGGAAGATGTAAATTTGCCCTTTTCTCTTTATATGTGCCTCTAACTCCAGAGTTCCTCCAAATAGATGAACCAGCCTTTGAGCAAGTTTTAAAGAAATGGCCAGTATTGCTCTTTCGCCACTC